TCAATGGAAGAGCGTGCCTTGCCAAGGAAGGGTTTGAGAGCGAGCTCAATGGCCAGCCACGCAAACGCTAAGGCTCCCGCCACCACCACTGCTTCTTTCGCCTTTCCCATCTCTTCTTCTCACTTCTCACTCTGCTACACCACTATTTTCCCAAACCTTACCTTCTTCTTCTTTTAAACCAATCTTCACCACTTCCTCATTCTTCTTTCACATCTAATTACAACCATTCCATTTTTTTAATATTTAAAAGAAAAAACACAATACCCTATCAATTCAACTTATCCGATACAATAATAAAATATTAACTTTTATAATAAGTATTTTAAAATACATATTTCAAATTATCACTTTATTCAATAATATAAAAAAAACATTACGCTATTAACTAATTAAAAAATTAATGCAACTTTTAAGATTATTATTATCATAATTAACAATCTTACCATATACTTTAATTATAAAATAACTTTAAATTCTCAGCGTATATTTTTTCTCCTCAAATGATTTCTTATAATAAATAAAAAATATTCAAAATAATTTCATTATGCTTCATTTGTATGTAAAAATACTATTAACTAGCATCAAATTAAGGTTTTATTTTAATTCGACAAGCATAAAATTGAACTCCTCTGTTACTCTTTTTTCCATTTGAAAACCATGCTCCGTTTCTAGGAAAATTAAGGGACAAAATTGAATAACTATTTTACACTTGTTTATTTATCAACATAAGAATATAAGATATCACTGTTGAATAAACATAAAATTAATCAATATTCAAATGTCCAAAACTTATCGTAATATAAATAGTTTTCTAAACTCTGTAAACTACGTAATACCTCGATGTCCGTTTTAGTATCCTGATCTATCAGTTGGTTCAGGTACTCCGGTTGGTTTCAAAAACTATACCAGATATTGCATTAATGTTGAAATATTGACTGTAAAATCAAATCTAAGTAACTTGTATGGTTTTCTTTATCCCTCTTAAAAAAGTAGAAAAGTTTAATACCCAGTATTTGAAAAAGTCTTCAATTAACACAACCATCACTACATTAAAGGCTATCATTAGTAATTCCTATAATTTCACCCTGTCCCGTAAAATAGAACTACAAACTATAAGCAGTTTCTTTCTTTCGGTCGAGAGGTATAAGGCAATTAGTCAGCAGGTAGGAATTATACACTAGACCTTCAAAGCACTTCTACAATTATGCAAGAAAATAACAACATCAACAGAGTCTGCATAACTACTTAGCTAACAACCGCACTACTACAACGTCTTTAAAACTGCTCAGAAAATTTCCCTACGGTAAAGGTACAACCAAATGCCACAATTTATCGGCCACCACCACGACCACGCCCGCGTCCACGTCCTCTCCCCCGTCCTCGTCCCAAAGGCTTCCCTGCAAATAAAATCAAGAGTTTGAAAATCAGAAATCCCAAGATAACAGTCAACCTGACAATAATGGATGGGCCTCTGAAAATATTCTAGTGACAGTCAAATAATATACAGTACCAGCAGTTGGCTTCTTAGGCTTGATCCTAGGAGTCTCTTCAACCAGTAAAGTCTCAAGATTCAAGCTGTCAGGAAGGATATAACAACGAATGTTGTTGCCTCTCACGCTGAGATGATCCAAAGTAACTGCATTTTTCCCTTTCAGAGTTAGTTTAACTGTTTTCAAATGTGTATTCATACTGATGTCAACACCTGTAGTATGACAACAAGCCCATTGATTAGTACAATTAAAGCTACAAAACATTTATCACACCATCCCAAGTAAGGCTCAAAGACACAAAATGGCAAAACTCTTTGTTAGACATGAGCATATATGTATTCAATAGAAAAGGAAAGTGAAATTCCTTGATGCTAAATTTTTTGTTTGGAAATAAAATTATTAATATGTTGCCCAATTATAATACAAGGATTCATTATGCTTGTGAAGCATGTCCGATTTCAATTCATCATAAAAAACAATGGTAACAGGAAGTTATTGACTCTGTTGAGTTGGCTACTTATTCATGAGCTAAGGGACACACCTGCACCGCAGACATTCTAAAATTTAAGGCAACTAAAGACAACAGATGTAATATATTTATAAGGTTTTGTATTTTCTATATATGTAAATAAGTCAAACTAAATCCAAAACTAACAAAGTGTCACATGGTTAGTAGATAATCTTGTCCCTTAGGCTTTAAGCGTGTAGTCAAAGGTTTAATCTCTAATGTGTGTGTAGAACAACATTTGTTGAAACCCTTAAATGGATCTCAATACAACAAGACATTAATCTTTAGCTTTCGGTTAGGGAATACCTTAGTCTACAAAAAAAAAAAAAAAAAAAAAAAAAAAACAAAAAGAAATTTCA